TTGACAGTATCCCACACGTTTGTCTCTAAATTGGAGCAATATGAATTTGATGGATGGACCACTCAATGGATAAGGAATTGGCTGGATGGTCGCACTCAAAAAGTTGTGGTCAACGACTCGATATCCAGATGGAGACCAGTGATGACCGGCATCCCTCAGGGGTCAGTACTGGGGCTCGTACAGTTTAACATCTTTATCGGTGATATGGACCGTGAGATCAAGTGCACCCTCAGCACGTTTGCCAATGACACCAAGCTGTGTGGTGCGGTGGACACGCTGGAGGGAAGAGATGCCATCCAGAGGGACCTGGACAGGCTGGAGAGGTGGGCTAGTGCAAACCTTATGAAGATCAACAAGGCCAAGTGCAAGGTCCTGCATGTGGGTCAGGGCAATCCCAAGTGCAAGTACAGGCTAGGTGGAGAATGGACTGAGAGCATCCCAGAGAAGAGAAGGACTTGGGGGTGTTAGTTGATGAGAAGCTCAACATGAGTGAGCAATGTACGCCTGCAGCCCAGAAAGCCAACCATGTCCTGGGCTGCATCCAAAGAAGCGTGGCCAGCAGGTCGAGGGAGGTGATTCTGCCCCTCTGCTCTCCTGAGACCCCCACTTGGAGTACTGCGTTCAGCTCTGGGGCCTCTAACATAAGAAGGACATGGACCTGTTGGAACAAATCCAGAGGAGGGCCACAAAGATGATTGGATGGATAGAGCACCTCTTCTATGAAGACAGGATGAGAGTTAGGGTTGTTCAGCCTTGAAAAGAGAAGACTCCAGGGAAACCTTCTAGCGGCCTTCCAGTACCTAAAGGAGACCTACAAGAAAGCTGGAGAGGGACATTTCCAAGGGTGTGAAGTGATAGGATAAGAGGAAAAGGATTTAAACTGAAAGAGGGTAGATTTTGATCAGATCTAAGGAAGAAATTCTTCACTCTGAAGGTGGTGAAGCAGTAGCACAGGTTGCCCAGAGAAGATGTGGCTGCCCCATCCCTGGAAGTGTTCAAGGGCAGGTTGGATGAGGCTTTGAGCAACCTGGTCTAGTGGAAGGTGCCCTTGCCCACGGCAGGAGGATTGGAACTAGATGATCTTGAAGGTCCCTTCTAACCCAAACCATTCTATGACTCTGTGAAAAACAATCCTTGGGAAAGACAGGAGCACTTTGTTCTGTAACACACTATCAGCTCTTTCTTCCAGTAGCTCTTACTCAGCAAACAGTAAATTCCCAGAAGATCATGTTCCTTATACAAATAATATACTTTTAACATTTTTCATGGCTGTGGTGTCATGATTAGCAATGGAAATAACAGAGCAGAAGTGAGAATGAGGTCTAACAATGCACAGAGAAGTGTATGTATACAGCAGTGTCTGTCTGGGCAAGAGGAAGCAGGTTATCTACGCCAGAATAAAACGACCTTGAAAAAAATTACCTAAACGCATTTAATTCACCAAGTAGAAACAAGGAAATATCAGAGCTCAGTCCTTCTGCATGTGACAGACCTGACTATTATGAGAAAGGACAGCATGTGAGAAAGGACAGCATGCAAAAACTCCCCTTAGTAAAAATTTACTGCACCCATTACTAACATAACAGAAATAGGAAGTGGCTTTCTACATCTTTCCCTTAACTCAGACTACTCTTGGGCTGGCCTTTCTCATTTACTTCAGCATACCACAGACTGACCTACTTCAGAACAAGTGGGTCATGATACAACTTTAAATCAGGAAGCCTAAAACCCACTCTTCTCTGCAAGCAAGAGTATGTTTGAGTCAGAAACACTTTCTTCTCGCTATTCTTCTTAGGACAGTACTTTGGCTCAAGAAAAGACAGATTTTCAGACCTGTGTTGGCAGGAAGAACCCAGTGTTCTGAAAAGGAAGCTCTTCATTGTAACTGTATATAATTTTCCTTCATACTGTACAACACAGTTATCTCCGGCACTCCAGATAATTTTGTACTGCAGCCTTTCAAAGGCTTTCGAGTATTGACTGATAGTGAGGTTTATGGTGTCTTAACTTTCTGCCACTCCTGCAAACTGCTGACATATGCAAAAATGCCCAGGGAGAAACTGATGTATAAATTATCTTTCCATGCTGATAACATTAATACTTTTGATCTCTGTACATAAAAGCTGATTATCTCATCCAGAGATAAAAATTCCCAGAAATCCTGGCTATACGTCTCAGCATTTAATTTTTCTTTCCAGTGTAGACATTTTTGAGCCCTCTACGGTGTGTATGCAGATTCTTCGAAGCTGACCTTTCATAGCTTAGAGGCAGTGTGCACTCTTTGGGTGCTAAAAAATACCAAGGCAACAATTTTGCCCCAGCAGTCTAAAAATTTTCCTTCTAAAATATACACTAGTTGCCCATTTCCGTGATCTTGAAAAAGAGTTGCATTTCTGCTTAACAGTCAAGGTTTAGTGGTGTGGACTTCAGCTCAGTCTGCTATATCATCAGAGTCCCTGCTTGACTAGTCCTCAAGTAATTAGCCATGTTTAAGTCCTTCCCCTCACTCCCTCACTCCAGTTTTTACCTTTGCTGCCTAAAGTCTCCTTAGGTAATCCTATCTGTGCTACAACTCTGGTCTTGTTTTGTCAGAAAGACGTACTGTTTGTTAATATATATTTATTTTGCAGACAGGCCTGTCGTGGGTGGCACTCTGGGAAAAACTTCACCTCAGCATAGTGTTAGCTCTTTGTCTGTCCCTCAGGTGGTCAGCAATTTTTTCTACTTACTATATAGGAACAGAGTATATAACACCAGTATACCAGTGCCTCTTTGGTACAGGCTGGATAGCAAGGAAAGGAGTTGATGATTTGACTTATCTTCCAGTGTCCTTATTGCCTCTTAATCCTGGGTGACGACAAGCTGTGAGTTGTGCATGTTCAGATGGAGATTTACAACAAGAAAGTGAGGAGGGAACGTACTGAATCAACAGGCCCCCTTCCAGTACCTCAAGGGGGCCTACAGGAAAGATGGGGAGAGGCTGTTCAGGAGGGCCTGTTGTGATAGGACAAGGGGTAATGGTTTTAAAATAGAGGGAGGTAGATTCAGATTGGATATTAGGAAAAAATTTTTTACCATGAGAGTTGTAGAACACTGGAACAGGTTGCCCAGAGAGGTGGTGGATGCTCCATCCCTGGAGACGTTCAAGGCCAGGTTGGACGAGGCCCTGAGCAACCTGATCTAGTTGGAGATATCCCTGTTTGTTGCAGGGGGGTTGGACTAGATGACCTTTGAAGGTCCCTTCCAGCCCTAACCATTCTATGATTCTATGATTCTATGTTACTGACGTCATGGAGCTCTGCGGCCTTTCCACTTCTCTCTCCTCTGTTTAGACTAGACTGTGTCTATCCTTTCTGTGTCTCACAAAAAGCCAATGCAAAAAAAAAAAAAAGCTTGTTGGCATAAGATATGTGAAACCTTGAAAAAATGGTTGCTCAAGAATATCGCAATGATTGATTCAATGATGCTAACACAACCCTGAAGTACAGAATTGAAGAGATGTTTACTACGTAAGTTATAGTGGAACTGCAGATACTCATTTGTGCTGTAGAGAAGTATCAAGCCTTTAAATTTGACTAAAAAATTTAAATGTAACGCTTCTAGTTAGTGTCAAGTAATACTGAAGGCATCAGAAAGTCTATATGAATGTGTATTTATGAAGAACAAAGAGGGTGTTAACGTAGGAAGCAGTGCCCATGCCATGTTCATTGGTTACACCACTTAAAAGAACAGAAAAATATTTATATTTAGAAACTATGATCTGGGTGGATACATATTATGCTAAACAAATACAAAAAGCTGTTAAGAAACTGGAGACCACTGAGACTAGAGGTTGTTCAAGAAGTTATTTTTGAATAGAGTTGTTTCAAGTAAGCAAATTCAATTGGAAAGCTGCTCAGATTATTTTTTTTCAATAAAAATACTTCTTATCGGCCTCAAGACTTTCCACATACAAATGAGACAAAAGATTAAAACAAATAAATAGGAATGAAAAACTCAGAGACCACTTTGTCCCCCAGTCATGTTCCGGAGTAAATTGGGAATTGGCCATTGTATTTTACTTCCTGGCTTTCAAAAACCAAAGGACTGTCTTCAAAGTGAAACTGTAGGGAGTCACATGGGTGTTTTTGGAAAAGTCACGTACTGTTAAACACTGACCAAGACTGTCTTCTGTTGAACTGCTGTCAACAACATGGGCTATGAAGGGATTTACTAAATGAAAATATGTTCACTGCTTCCACCTATTGATGCTCTACAGTAATTTCTGCATAAAGCTTGACTCAAAATTTTAGTTCTGTTAATACATTTCCTTTTAATGATTGCATGTTGGTTCTCTCTTTTCAAATACATATTTTTCTTCTGTCTTTGATGAAACAGTATTTTCATACTCGTGTATCTGTCCTGAGTTTCTCGTTTAAAAAAATTAGGCTGATTAGGTTGTGTGGTTTCGTGTGTTTTTTGTGGTTTTTTTTTTTTTTTGTCTTTTTCTGTTTTCCTTAGTCATTAAGTGGCTATTTGCTTTTCAAAAAGCTTTCATACATTTGTTATGCCATTACTTACGGCTCTTTAGCACTCTGAACGTTATCATTTTCTAGCCCACTCCAGCCTTTGAAGATGGGATACTTTCCTTTCTATGGCATGAATCACAAACGGCTCTGGGTGAATTATACAGTGTGAGCAGTTCCAGCTGATGGCATTCAGGGTAGACAAGATAAACTGACTGTGAAAACTGCCACAGTGACCTGCTGCTCCCTCACGGGAGCCCTCAGCTGCGTAGACAGGGCAGGAGGAGGACATGGCTGCGCCCCGTCCTCCCCCAGCCTCTCCACCTGTGTGGATGACAAAAGCCAGGCCAAGAAGCTTGAAGAGACGCCACCATCGCTGACACAGCGGCCTCAGCGTGAGCGTCCACCCACCGTTCAGCCGCGACTGGAAACTCCCACAGCGCATGCGCGCGGGAGCTGTTTGGGGGTTGCTATGGGAGCGGCCCGAAGCGGAGGATGAGGATGAGGCAGCTGCTGCTGCGCTA